AGGTTGAGATCCACGCTGTGAGTAGGTTCAACATTGAATCATCCTTGCATCTTGATAACTATGTAATGCTTAATAAGTACAAGCTATAGTATAAAATTTCCACGCGATTATGATAAGATATGATTGATTAGACCAACTTATGACGATTCTTATGCAAATAAAGGACAGGGGTCCTAACTCCTACTATTGCCACTTCTCACTTATCTTTGACAACAATAACGTACCGAATGACCATGACCATCATAACAATATTCATTGGTTAAACCGGACACACTCTTTTATTGTAGAAGTAACACAAATTTATAAGTATATTACACACGTTTGATTAATGATATTGAAACTAAGATCGTCACCCCAATTTGATTTTAACCATGGAGCTATATCCCAATGTCATAAACGACCGATACTATTGAATATTGATAGCAGTTTGCATTTGGTATCAAGAAATAGACTAATTTCGGAAAAGTCTGCAAGATAGGATTTTTATGAACAACTTTTTCTTTAAAAATGAAATAAATTTTCTTTTTTTGTTAATATACAACGGAACAATTTAAACATGAGAGAATTTAAAAACTTTTGATATAGGGGTTCAGCGGTTTCATCATAATACTTATAACGCTACATATTTTAATAATGAATTTTTAAACTGGTAATTAATCTGTTTTATAACATGTGGAGTAAGTTTTATTTTTTATTTTTTTTTGAATATATGGATTGTGAGCATAGTAGCTTTTGAATGACATTGTGCTGGCAACTTCATCTGACACTCTGAGACCACCTTAATAACAATGAACGTCATTACTCATCCCCAATGATTAATTATTCCCTGCAAGACATAATTGATCTTCATTGCAAGACCAGACCCTCAATCGTCTCATATTAATTTCCTCTCCATGTGGCTCACTCTGCTCTGCTGCAATGCACAATCCTGATTTATAACAGTGCTGCCATTACGCCGCTCACGTTTTTTTCCGCAAATATACATTTTATAATTTTATTGTGTGCGGTGTTAGGTCGCTATACCACTCTCTGAGCATTTAAGAAGCATCAGTACACGTGGATGGATTTAAAAAGGCCGTTTTGCATGGTTGAGTTTAAAATAAATCATATGCCTTGAACCTTACATCACCTACAAAACACATTTTAATTATGACAAGTTTTTTTTTTTTGTCACATTAAGTGAGTTTAACTGCACAAGTCAAATTTGATATATTGTTAAATGAATTTTTATTTATCAATAAAATAAAGTATTAAATTTATTATTATGATAAAAATTTACATTTCAATAAAAATGTCACATAATTATAAACAAATCAAGATTTAACTTGTATTCCAGTCAGCCTAGTTAGCTAAATCAATAATAGAGGCTTGTATTGATAACTCATACCATAATCATTTTAGAAGGTATCCCATGGTGAAACATAGAAGTGCCTCACACGAGATCCTTTTCTTCTTTTTTTTTTTTTTTTTTTTGTTGTTGTTGTTGAGATATATAGTCACATATTGATTGTGTGGGCAACTAATGTGGCCTTTATAAGGCTTTGGACACTCTCACCCTTTGAGTTAGCTTTTGGAGTGGTGTATCCCAAGATTCTTTACATGGTATCAAAGCTTGAGTGACTATAAGGTCACAAGTTCGATTTTCACGGCCCCCACTTTCAAGTGGAATTAAAATAAAAAGCATGAAAATGTAAACCAAAAATTGGGCCTGTGCAGTTCCACGCTTCTAGCCCAAAGGGCTCTTGCGTGAGGGGGCGTGTTGAGAGATATATAGTCCCACATTGATTGTGTGGGCAACTAATGTGGCCTTTATAAGGCCTTGGACACTCTCACCCTTTGAACTAGCTTTTAGGATAGTGTATCCCAAGGTTCTTTACATGGTATCAGAGCTTGAGGTGACTATAAGGTCACAAGTTCGATCCTCACCGCCCCACTTTAAAGTGGAATTAAAATAAAAAGAACACCCAAAAATTGGGTCTGTACATAATCCACCCTTCAAGCCCAATGGGCTATCGTGTGAGGGGTATGTTAAGATATATAGTCTCACATTGATTGTGTGGGCAACTAATGCAGCCTTTATAAAGCATTGGACACTCTCACCCTTTGAGCTAGCTTTTTAGAGTAGTGTATTCCAAGATTCTTTACACTCATACATAGTAGCCATTGTATATTGACAGTGGGTACAAGACGCCTTGTCCTAATAAGGTCAAGTTACAATGACACAGTTATGTCCCTTGCTTTTCTCACTCTCTCACCCTGTTTTCATTGAAGTGGCATCACTATCCATTCACTTATATGAACTATTCCTCTGTCAGGATAGAGAACCATTATAACAGTTTAGACACCCTCCCCTTTTATAAAGCGTCTCAGAAATTTTAAGAAAGCCTTGATTCATACCATTGTTATTAAGGCCCTGTTTGGTTCAGGAGATTCTATAATTTTGCTAGGAAAATGAACTTGGCAATCCAGCTTGCCTTCGTTTGGTACACAAGTTTGCAAAGTTGCCCATGTATCCCATTTGCATGGCATGTCTCCTTTTGGTCGATGAAAGATAGGCATTTGCACTGTTCAAAAAGCCAACTTGGACGTGGGTTTTTGGTGATAGCCATCTAAATTGAAAAGTGCAAAATTAAAGCTCCCCAAATTACCCTCGTTGTGTGGTCAGCAACCCCCCACTTGGTTTTTTTGAAGAAAGAAGCTTGTCTTTGTAAAGTGAGGGTTAATTTTGTAAACTCGCACACATTTTCCCATCTATATATTACTTACACCCAAACATAGAGTTTACAAAAGTTACCTAATTTTCTTAGTAAATTTTTTTCCCACCAAACAACATTTTTTTACATTTTCCTATATATCTCACTTTCTTACCATTTCCCTATCAATTACATTTACTTAGTATTCAAAAAATTTCTCCTTAACCAAACACCCCCTAAGAGCACCCTTAAAGTGATATACTTCACTGGTACACTCAGTGGTGGAGTCACTTGGTTCTTACATGGTGTCTTGACACCAGCTGATTTTAAAAAATATTACATATTTTCTTTGAAAATTATGATATAACATTGGTATTGATTAGATTTTAAAATAATACTATATTAATATTAACTTAATTTTCTTTTTTTTGGTGAAAATATTAGCTGAATTTTATTAATTGGATCTTTTGACACTAACTAAATCTTGTCCCTTAACTCCGCCACTTGGATATACTAAACAGTTCAACTTGTAAGTAAGTTTAACTTAAATAAGGGTCATGTAATTTATATTTCTTAAAAATAAATTATTAAGAAGGAAACTTCTAAGGGTTTCTCTTTTCTCATGTCACATGAGTAGCATCTCTTATGCCATAGATACAATAAGTGGTGGATCCCACCACTTGTTAAAAAGAACCAAAAAAGTGAAAAGAATAACACAGATTTTGATGTCTCACAACATAAGAAAGTTATCTCCTATTGCATGAGAAAATAATTTTCCAACTTTTAATAGCACGAACAAAATTTTGCATCTAAAAAATGTGGGGTTTTGACAAAAAAAATGCAAATTTTAAAAAAATTCACTTGTTTAGTTCGTTGACCAAATATTTTACCGGACTAATGCAGGAAGACACATTTCAGATGGTTACGCGTTTAGTCGCGCATCAGACACATGCGCGTTTCTGACAAATCTGAACACATCTGTACTAGGTACGTGTCTGAACACGCTTGTACCAGGTGCGCGTTTCTGACTGTGATGCGACATGCGTGCCTGAATATGACACATCTTGGTATTATACTCGTCAGACTTGTCAGAAACACGCACCTGGTACAGACGTGTTCAGACACGTATCTGGTACAGACATTTTCAGATTTGTCATGTGCGCGACTAAACGCGTAACCACCTGAAACATGTCTTCCTGTATTAGTCTGCTAAAACGTTTGGTCAACGAACTAAATAGGTGGATTTTTTTGAAATTTGTATTTTTTTTGTCAAAAACCCAAAAAATGTAAAGATATCCAGCAAAAAAATCAGATAGTTTACTGACATGGTGAATGAATCAAAATTAGATTTTTCGAATTTAACATTAAGAAATAAAACTGCTATTTTTTGCAAAACCTAAGCTTCGCAGCCATCTCAGATTTCTTTATCTGATATAAATGGGGTCTGTTATGGACCCGTATAATGGGCCCATTAAGTAGCAAGTCCAACAAGGGGCAATCCAAGATATGGATTGATACCAATAAAGGATAGATATCCAATAAGGATACTAATCCTAATACGACAGGATAACTATCAGGCCTGGACCCTCATCAGAGGAACCAAAGGCCCATCCACACTACCCACAGGTAACCTCTATAAATACAAAGATAAACCCTAAAGGTACGTACGCTCTCTCTTACTGTTATGTTGTCACTGTGCACACACACCCCCTTGACTAACGCCGTTATAGTATTCTGTGCACAGTGATCTGTTTGAGTTAAGTGTATCTCCTTCATAGATATCTTATAGAGGGCACTAGATCTAATATCAACGTACTAACCTATTGGGCTAGACATCTCTGTTTCAAGGACAGAACAAGGTCCAATCATATATTACCAGGGATTTTATTGTTAATTTTAATATCATCGCTTAACCAACAAATTAGGACAAGATTAGGACTTCCCAGTTATGTCTCATTCTCTTATTTGGAAATTCGGAACTCAGCACCATGAAAACGAACCCAACCAGTTCTTGAGTAGAGTGTAAAAAAGGAGAAGAGAAAAAATTAAAAAAAATTATAAACCTCCCCAAAAGTCCAAACAAAACTAAACGACACTGTTATTTAGCCGCTCAAATAATCAGAAAACGACACGCCGTGTCCGTCTTCATCTTCACTCTCCAACTGCACATAAAACCGCTCCCTTCATTTCACTCCCTCACAAACCTAAACGAACTAGTCACCGGCTCTCCGGCGATGTTGCCGGAAATACCATCGGCTCCACTACCGAGACCCTAATTACTCCGCCACTGCAACTGGCATCATTGTAATTATAATGTCTTCACCGCAGATCATAAAGCAGAGGGTCTTCACGTGCCTAACCAAACTCTCCGATCGCGACACGCAATCCCTCGCCGCCACCGAACTCGAGTCTATTGCTCGGAACCTTGACGCAACCACCGTTCCGGTGTTCCTCTCCTGCATAAACTCCACCGATGCCTCCGACAAATCTCCGGTTCGTAAGCAATGCGTGCAACTCCTAGGGTTACTCTCCGAGACGCACGGAAATTCTCTTTCTCCTTACCTTCCCAAAATCCTCTCCGGCATCGTTCGCCGCATCCGCGACCCGGATTCGTCGGTCCGATCCGCGTGCGCGAATTCGGTTTTGGCATTGTCGAGCCACGTCACCAAGCAACCGTTTTCGTCTTTTCTGAAGCCGTTGACGGAGGCTCTGTTCACGGAGCAAGACCAGAACGCGCAGATTGGAGCGGCGCTTTGTCTGGCTTCGGCCATTGATGGAGCTCCGGATCCGGACCCGGCCAGGCTGGCGAAGCTGCTGCCGAGGTTCGAGAAGCTGCTGAAACGCGAGGGGTTCAGGGCAAAGCCGGCGCTCTTGACGGTGATCGGAAGCGCCGTCGAGGCCGGCGGCGCGTCCTGTCACGCGGCCTTGAGGAATTTGGTTCCTTGCTTGGTGGAATCGTTGAGCAGCGTCGACTGGGCGACGAGGAAGGCTGCTGCGGAGGCACTGGTGGTGTTGGCGAACGTGGAGAGGGATTTCTTATCGGAATTCAAGGCTGAGTGTTTGAAAGTTTTCGAGAATCGACGATTTGATAAGGTTTCTTGCTTAAAATATTTGCTTCTTCTTTTTTTCCGCCCTCAGTTGCTGGTGTTTATTTATGGTAATTTGAAAGTGAATTGAGAGTTTGTGTTGTTTTGTTTAGGTAAAGGTAGTTCGGGAAGTTATGAATCAGATGTTGGAAGCGTGGAAGCAGATTCCTGATGTTTCTGATGAATTTTCGCCACCTCCTCAATCGCATTCTTCTTCGAAAGGTATTTCTCTTTGGTTATCTTGGGTTTGATTGATTTTGCCCTTGAGAATATGAGATGAATAAGTGTCAGATCTCTTTACAGAAATAGTATCACGGATTATGTTTTGTGGTAAGAAAAGAAAATGCAGGTGATGGTCAATCTGGGTTGTTTGATCTTAAATATATTTAGAATTTTTGTTAACTAGGATTCGGAGATTACTTTGCCAGTGTCTCTGTCTGGTTGTATGATTAATCTGTTACGTTGAATTGTCGATTGTTTTTCATACCACTTTCTGGGTTTGTGCTATTGACTCAGAGAACGCAAGTGATGGGCGCTATCCCCCTGTCTCTCAAAATTCATGTAGTCCTGGTTCAGTAATGGGAAATTTGCGGAAGAAATCCACCCCTATTAGTAGATTCAGTGATAGTTCTTCTGCTAGCAATGCTAAGAATGTGAGTGCTCTAAGTAGTAACAAGAGAATGAGTTCAGCGCTAAAATTAAACCATAAGAATTGGGATGTCCAAATTGCCCTGTGTAATGCTCCCTCTGCGGACAGGGCTGATCAAGGTGATGTTCAGGAGAGGGATGGAACTGTTCTGGAAAGAAGCAAAATGAATAAAAGCAGATTTGTTAAGCCAGAAATGAAACGGGTATTGTTAAATAAAAATCCTGTCGACGATAAAATACAGAAGTATGGTGGGTCCAAAGCTGGATCTCGTGTGGTTCCATATCATGAAGATAGTGAAGACTCAGTTCCTGTCCCTGATGTCACTAAAGATCTTAGGAATGACAAAGAGAGTGAAGATTTATCTTTGATCCGCCACCAGTTACATCAAATTGAGAAGCAGCAGTCAAGTATACTTGATCTTCTGCAGGTTTGTTCCTAATGCTTAACACCAAGTTCCCTCAATCAAATTCTTTTATTTGTGCTGCTTAGGTCTGCAAATTTCTGGTAGGAAGGCTGGTTAATTCTTTCATTGTGTTTTAACTTCATCTTTTTCTATCTTTTACATAAGCACATGTAGCATTTATGCCAATCCTTTAATGACGAACATATCCAACATGCTCTCCCATATTCTTACAGAAATTCATTGGAAACTCACAAAATGGAATGCATTCTTTAGAGACCCGTGTACATGGCCTTGAGTTGGCAGTGGATGAGATCTCAAATGATTTGGCTTTATCAAGTGGAAGGATGATGAATTCTGATGCTCTTGAAAATACATGTTGCTTGCTACCTGGAGCTGAATTTTTGAGCTCCAAATTCTGGAGGAAAACCCAGGGCCGGTATTCATCCTCGAGGTTCTCTAGGCCTGGTGGCACCCCATCACTTGCTGCTATGCACTACAAAGCTGGCAGGAATACTGAAACTGAATTGACAAACAACAGATTCAGACTTGATGGAGGTTTTATTACTAATCCGCTGGCTCATACTAATTCGAGGGATTTGGCTAGATCAGAGCCAGTTTAAAATGCAGGTTCGCTTTCTAATTGCATCTAGACAAAGCATTCAGTCTTGGGCACCATCGCCCATCGGCATGCAATTTTGCTATTAATGATACCAATTGGTTCAGACTTTTTGCCTTTTTTTTTATTCCTGTATTTCTTACTTGCAGATGTGCTGCACAATCCAGATTCCAAGTTTGATCTTGTGATTCTCAATCAGCTTTGGAAGTGTAACTATGATTTAATCAGAATTTGTGCTGCTCGAAAATACTCCATGTAGTCTTGTTACTGGTGAAGAGGGCGAGAAGCTGGCTAGACCATACATTCTACAACCTAGTACAGAATTTCATTTGCATATTCATGATAAATCTTTGGACAAGAACAGCAGATTGGAGTGAGTTCACGGCTAAATACCACACTATATTTTAAAAGAGGGTGCATTTTTATATGTAGAGAAGTGACAGGCTGCTTTCTTTTTTGTTTTAACTTTTATGATCAAGTATTCGTTGTACATTGCATTCCAGTTATATTAAAGGGGTCACTGGCGTTCGCTACTGGCATTTGATCATATTGGATAAAATTGCTTCTATTCTATTATTCTACCTATCCCCTCTCCCCGTGCCTTTTCTTTAGATTCTTTTTCAGTGTGAGGGTTGGGCTTATAAAATAGTTTATAAAGTAAACGGGTCCAATAATATTTTCATGCGCAAGGTCATCCCCTAGGTTGTTGTTAGGACGGTTGAACTTATAAGTATTTTGTGTATCAATTTCAGATGAAATATATGTAGGAAATCTTAGATTTATGCGGAAGCGGTTTAGGACCTAGTACATTGGTATGCTTACCGAATCATCCTTGTTTCACAATTATCTCTCGGTGCGCAGGTCTCGTGTAGAATTTTCCCTTGTAGGATTCCTCTTCACGAACAGCTCACCTCAGCGCGCTTCCTTGAAGCTGGACTGTGGCAGATCTTCCAAACTATCTCTCGAGGAGGAAGGGGAAGTGTGTGGGCACTGATTAGATTCTGAGCTTGCCTCTTTCTCACAAAAAAGACCTAGGAGGCTGATGACTTAAGAGGTACTATTTATATGGGTTTCAAGAAACCCTAACTCATTGGGCTCTAGGTTCCTTGGGTTCTTCTCATACTAATAACCCATTTGGGTTTTAGTAAAAGAGCAAACCCAACAATCTCTCACTTGCTCTTTTGGATACAAACTTGTGTCGTAAAACCCAAGATCATGTAACCCATAAGTCATCATCTATCCGAAAAATACCCCATCCCTTGTCTCAAACTAGCTTGGGGATCTACCATCTGTTATTAATCAAGGCTCCTGATAATCAACGAATGATTATCTAATTCGGTGTTACTCCACTAAAAGCCCGAACTTGAACTCCAAGATTAACAACACTTATAACATGAATATGCATCGCCCGTTTGTAGAATGTCTATAATTGATTGACAAGTTTTCTGTAACTCAATCAATTATTTATTCCCTTGACTATGATAGTTTCTCTGATGGATTACATGCACCGGCCAGTGTCTTTAATATCCAAGTACCGAAACATATCAAGGGGACATATCCTACAAATTCCATGTTGTTTATCTCATAAATACCGATAATCAAATAATCTCACTCCCAAAATACCGAGTTATTGGCCGTCAATAGATCGAACCTCACCTGTTGGTAAATCAAAGAATGAAAACTATTTGATTACCTATTTATAATAAACTCAGGATTAAGAGCAATCACATAACTATAGTTAACTGGAGATTTGATACCTTATGACAGAAAAACAACCTTAATCAAATCTCTCCTTGATCCTTTCAATGTGAATGTTAATTCACACCAATATTTTACAATGATTCGGACAAAATCATTTCATAAAATATTGCAGCCTGAATAAAGTGCCCAACTTTATTTAACGGATGTGACTCCATTCATCAATTGTGAGATCCTATTATCATGTCCTCCATGAACGTATCCATATGATCATATACTCCACAATTTGATCCGGACCTTTATGTTTGTAAATAGTGCGCAAAATAAATAAATAAAACCTTATTTATGAAATTCAGAAAATGATTTTATTGTTTCATCGTCTTATTCCAAGAGCACAATAAAACCAATAACTCCCACTTGCTTAATGCAAGTCTGGGATACTCCTAAGACCCAAAGAAGTAACATGCCTCTCGAACACAAGTTCAGGCAAACTCTTAGTAACTGGGTCTGCAAGATCCTCCTCTAATGCTATCTGAGTTTAGTGAAAAATTCATAGCTCGAGGTTGATTTTCTTGAGTTAATATCCACTTGAAATAACTGAATTTTTGAAAACTCAACTTTTCAAGACTCCCACTAGAATATACCAGCATATAATTTCTCGTTCTCCAAAGATACTTGAGTACATGCTTAATAATAATCTAGTATTCCTCTAGGTTCAAAATGGTACTATCTCACTACTCCCACTACGCGACAGATGTCTGGTTTAACGCCCAACATGATATGCGTGAGTCTACATTTGCCAAAGCATAAGATATCTTGCTCATGCATTTTTCCTTCTTAGAAGTCTTTGGTCACTCCTTAGGAAGATGAATTCCACATCTGAGAATTATAATTCTTCTCTTAGAATTCTCATGTTGAATTCTGGGTTTTGTCAATGTAAGTAGCCTGAGGTGATGCCAACAACTTATTCTTCCGGCCTCATAAGAGTTTTATACCAAGAATATAATTGCTTCCCCAGTACTTCCATACCAAAACACTAACTTAGCCAACTCTTTATGCTTGATATTACCTCCACATTGTTTCTAATAAGGAGCATATCATCTACATAAAGTACCAGAAAAGCTATTGTCTTCTGTTGTATCATTTACATACAAATACACATCATTCATCAAGGTTCTCTCAAAATCAAAATTTTGATAACCTGATCAAAACTGATGTTTCAAGACCTGGATGCTTGCTTAAGTCTATGAAATAGACTTTCACAACTTGCATACCGTGTGTTCCTACTCATTTGCTATAAACTCTTTTGGTTGTTGTATGTAGATATCCTGACATCCAACTCCCAAAATGAAATCTCATAATTGAGACTTATAGCAACTAAGAGAATCTGGATAGACTCAAGCATGGCGTCTGGCAAAAAATGCCTCCAAGCTAGCTTTGAAGGTTTTCACCTTTCTGTCCATCCTCTCTTTGCCTTTTATGTCCACATGCACCTTGTGGGTTTTACCCCTCTTGGTGTCTTTACTAGGACCGAACGGAGTTGAAATACAAGTATTTCATCTCATTGTTCATAGCTTGAGCAACACTTGATCAACAACACCTTCTAGTGCATTATCGTAACTAGTAGGATCAATATCACTCAACAAGAGACAACTTGAGAGTTAACAAGGTTCTCTCCCACTACGAATGTACTGCACTAGACCTTGTGTATTTATAGGTAAAACAAAGAGTGGGTCAAATGATGGATCTTCAATTTCTTGAGGATCCGCTTATCCTTGATATTGTTCATTTACATGTGATACTAATATTTCTACTAGTTTCACTTATATATTATCATGTTGAATTTCCAATCATGGTTCTCTTGTTTGTTCACTTAGAGATATATCTATCCCCTCTTGAACAATCAAGGGAACAGTGGATGAAGCTTCTAGAGATTCTGGAAATTCTTGAGCTGAGATAAATCTCATCAAGAATAACCTAACTTAAGAGCTTATAATTTCTTATCTAGTCCTCCTTTAAGAAAATCATGTGAGTGCTCACTTAGATTATCTTGTCCTTAAGACTAAATAAGAAATCATCCCTAGTTCTCTTAGGGTAGCCAAATGATATGCACTCTTCCATACAAGATTCCATCTCATTTGACTGCTGTTGTAGGACGTGTGCCGTTGCACCCTAAATCCGAATATGGCTTGATCTGGGCTTGCACCCCTTCCATAAATCTTTAGGTGTCTTTACAACAAACTTTGACGGAACCAAGTTAAGAAGGTAGATTTCCTTCTCTTAGGCATCTCCCTTGAACAATATTAGCAAAGATGAATAACTGAACATGATCTTCACCAATTCTAGAAATGTTTGATTTTTGCATACTGCAACTTCATTCAACTAACGCGTTCTTAGAGTTGACAGTTACGAAAACTATCCCCTCTTAAAATCAGGTAAGACCTGAAATTACCAGACAGGTAGCCAAACACTTTAGTCAGACCAAAGTGTTTTTGATTTGAACACCTACATGTTTTTCTGCCTCAGACTAAACCTCTTGGAATTTTCAAAAGCTTTAGACTTATGGCGCACTTGGTTCATCTATCCAAATCCAGAGTAAACATTCATATAATGAAGTACTCATCACCTCTTTTGGTCTGAACACTAATTGGTCCACATACATTAGTATGTACCAGTTCCAGTTGAATAGTTGCGCAAACATTTTTGGCCCTTGTAGGATTGCTTGGCCACTTTACCTTCCAAATAGGACTAACATGTAGCTGTTAGTTAAAAGATTATTGAACTTTCAGTCCCTCTTTTAGCTAAAATATGTTTCCTACTTGAGATAATATGACTCAATCACAAAGGTCAAAGTTATGTTTCATTTGAAACTTTTATTTCTTTGGTGAAAGTTCTTGTTCATCATCCTTTCCATTCAACATAACAAATTTAAAAAGGGTATAGGACATAGGTAATAAAGACTATTTAAACAATGTACCTGAACAAAACAAGACGAAGATGAACTTCGAAATGTAACTGAGGAATCAATTGTATTGTCAAACCATGTTTTAACCAAAACAACTAACAAAAATTGAATTCCTCTTGAAATCCGGAACAAATAAATAGTCACTCAAAACCATAGTCGTATAAATAACTTGTCCTACTACAAATGCAGACACAAGTTTCCATTTTCAAGCTTAAAATATCTATGTCCATTGCTGACAGGTATGCCATGTTTGAACTACTACAAAGAGTAACAAACATAATCAGTGATTCCTGACTCAATAATTCATTCACTGATCAGGCCTTGATATGCCCATGTCAGGTTTTTTTCATCACCTTTGGACAATTTTTCTTTCAGTATCCCTTCAGTCTGCACTTGAAGAACTTGCCTTGCGGCTTCTTCATAGCAACTGGTTTGACAACTGATAACCAAGTCATTTTGTTCTTGTTACCACCCTTGGGTTTCCCTTTGAATTTAACAAGACTCTTAGCAAAACCTGCACCGACTGCATTCTGTCTAGCACAGCTGCTAGACGCAACAAACATGTCATTAAGAGTCTGAAGCATTTTTACTCCACTCTTAATCATGTACACTTGCTTCTGCAAGTATTTGGAAAGACTGACAATAATATAGCAGCGAACTACCATATTTGCCCTTTCCCAATCTGAGAAATGCATCTTAGTTTCCTTAGACGCATTCTCTGCAGATTGCTATGGCCCTCGCATTGTCAGGACAAATTTTAGCTTCCATGTTTTAGAACAATATAAAAGATTTGCTTTTCACTTATTCATAGTTGGTACCATCTAGAGGTTTTCGACCC